CTGAAGTATGTTATTCCATTGTTTCCTCTTCTGGAGTATGGACGTAATAGCAATGCATACCTCCAACTGGATAATAAAAAGAGAAACAATATACTGAACTAGAAATTATAATTCATTAAATTGACAATATTATCTTCTCATGGAATAGGCTGTTGGGGTAAATAATAAATGATAAAAGCTAAATTTTAGGAGTTGTAGATGACAAAGCAGTGCTTACACATTTACTTTTGATTTATTTCCTAACAACATTTTGGTGGTTGTTAAATACACTCTTCTCACTTCTTGTTTATGTTTTGGTGGTAGTTTAAAGGCAGTCAGACCTCCTGTGTCACCAGCCCCAACCCCAACGTTCAAAGACTTCCTCAAAGGCTTGCTCGTTGTTCTACAATAGTATATCTTATTATACAAAGAATGGTTTACCAATGTTAATATTACTTTATTTTTACTTAGACAGACTCCACAAATCTCTTATCTTAACCCACATACACAGTTAAGAAAATGAAAAAAAGCTTCAGGATTGTGTCAAAGAAGCAGGTGTGAGTACCCAAAGTGAATATACTGGTTAACTTCCCCTTCCAATAGTTCCACAACTGTCCACTTCTGCTCATTCTGTAGTCTGTGGATGTAAAAAGGCCACTCGGCAGCAGCAAAAATAAAAACCTTCTCTACTAGTCTATCTATACAAACCACTTGCCACCCTGTTAATTTTAGTCCACTTTTTATTAATTCAGCCTCCTGTGTTTTGGTTTTCCTATTGCTTCATAATAAGTCTAAAACACAGTGGTGGAAAAACTTCTACTTGTTTTGGACTCAGAGCCTGTGCTTCTAGAGTTGAAACAGAGCTGGGTGTGGTTCTGCAGGGCTTTAATCCCAGCACTTGGAAGGCAGAGGCAGAAGGATATCTGTGAATTAGAGACAAACCTGCTCTCCATAGACAATTCCAGATCATTTAGGACTACATAGTAGGACTCTGTTTCAAAGGTAAAGGGGTTGACACAAGGTACAACATTTATATATGCCTCCTATGGGAGGTGAAACCAGGCAGGCTTTTAGAGAAATGCAGATACTGTGTGTTCTCACCTTTGTGTAATCTAAATCCATTGCAGTCACAGACAGAAAATAAAGTGGTGGTGACAGGAAACTGGAAGGTGGGTTGAGTGGAGAGATGGTGGTCAAATATGGAAGTTTCAATTAGATAGGAGGAATAGTTTTTGTAAATCATTTTCATTTAATAGTTCTGTGTATGGATGTTTGACTGCCTGTACATCTGTGCATCTCATGTGCACCTGGCACCTGCAAAGGCCAGAAGAAGGCATTAGATTCCCTGGGACTAGAATTACAGACAGTTGTGAGCTGCCTTGTGAGTGGTGGAAATTGAACCTGAGTCCTCTGCAAGAACAACCAGCTCTCTCAACTGTTGAGGTATCTCTGCAGCCCTAGGGGACTAATTTTTGAGGTCTCTCATCAGCATGATCACTATGGGAATAAGAGAGCATTGGACTTTGTCAATTACTATGAGTATATTTCTAATGATCATATCAGATGAGCTAAGTTTGCCAGGCAACGGTTATATTAATTTGACTGAATCATTCTGAGACAAGTTTAAAACCACAGAGAAAAGTATGGTGATACCTAACCAGGAAAGAAGAACCTCACCCCCAGAATATGAGAGAAAGAAACTTCAGCACAACAGGAAATTCGAGCTACCTGCAAAAACAATGCCTCCTCTCCCAAAGACATCTCACACAAGGTTGATAAAAACAACAAATGAACTGTTTACGCAAACCCTTAACGTGTGTGATCTTGAATTTAACTATATTAGCCCCTGTCAATGTGAATCCTGAACAATAGAACTGATAAAACACCTTAATGGTTACATTTAGAAAAGGAAATTAAGGGCTGGAGAGATGGCTCAGAGGTTAAGAGCACTGGCTATTCTTCTAGAGGTCCTGAGTTCAATTCCCAGCAACCACATGGTGGCTCACAGCCACCTGTAATAAGATCTGGTGCCCTCTGTATACATAATTAATAAATAAATCTTTAAAAATAAGAAGGAAAAGCCGGGCGAAGGTGGCGCACGCCTTTAATCCCAGCACTCGGGAGGCAGAGGCAGGCGGATCTCTGTGAGTTCGAGGCCAGCCTGGTCTACAAGAGCTAGTTCCAGGACAGGCTCCAAAGCCACAGAGAAACCCTGTCTCGAAAAACTAAAAAAAAAAAAAAAAAAAATAAGAAGGAAATTAAGTAAAATAAGCAAACCAGTTCATATTTTATTTAATTTTAATCTTAACTTTTAAATATTGCTTAAACCTTTAACCCACTATAAATTATATCCTCTGAGCAGTTTAAAAGACACAAAAAACATATGTATATCTAGTGATAAGAGGAAGAGAGGAAGGAGACAAGAGAGGGTAATGGGGTTGTGTATTATGTATGAAAATCACTGTTCTTATAATATATGCTAACAAAATTTAGTATACCTCTACCTCGTGAGATGCTCAGAATCATGTCTTATGTGTATACTACCCCCTTAATGCCTGCATTAAATTTGCAGTGTGTGCTACTTACTATCCCTACTTCATAAGCTCCCTAAAATGTTTCATTAAAGCTTATTATGAAATAGTTTTTATTAGCAAAACCAGGTATCTGAGATGAATCTCACTGCCTACATTGACAATTCCACATTGTATACGTGTAATAACTTCACATTGAACCTCATTAACATGAAGATACAAATAAAAGTAAATGAAAAAGTTTTCTATGTAGTGTGCAACAAAATTCATCTTTGTCTCTGAGCTAAATTCACACAGATCTGACCACTGGCAATATGCCTAGCAATCCAGATGTCCTTTAGGAAGGAGCCCCAAGAAATGCCAGACTTGTCAGGGAAATGATTCATGGCAAGAATCTTCCTACTTGGTACCAGGAGAAAGACCTGTTTGGTAACTTGTGTCTGAGGCAGGATAAAAAGCCATGGAAAATTATGGGGACATGAAAAGGTAAAGAAGAGGCTGGAGAGATGAGTCAGTGGTTAAAAGAACTTGCTGATTTTTGAGAGGTCCTGAGTTCAATCGCTAGTACCCACATGGTGGTGAAAAGGGGTAACTATTTTCAAAGGTTTCAAAATGACATTTATTGTGTATGCCACTATGAAGGCTTTATGTTGGGCTCATTTGCTAAGGAGTAAAGGCATATAAATAGCAAGAACAAACAAACAAAGACAGCCATTTTAAAGACCCATAATGGCCTTTTCTCTTGAGAAGCCCATACACATGCCTCAGGACTATACACTGTCTTTCCCCCATGATTTCCTATCTACACACTTACTAAATAAGCTCACTAACTTTGCTTCACTTTGGCTTGTCATGAAATTATTTCTATGTCATAATCAAGGAACTGCCTGCCTTTACCTGAGCAGAAGTCCTATGGAAAAAGGTTGACTTCCCAGGTTGCTAGAAGTTCGTATTCTGTGTCTCCCTGCCTCCCTCCCTCCTAGTCTACAACTAAATATGCATATAATCTCTTCTATGAATTGTAACAGTGATATTGGCAAGGCCAAGAAATACTGAGAAATTTTTGCTCCCCAATTTTGGATACAACACTAAATGAACTCAGTTTTCATTTTAAAAAAAGATTTCCACTAATGGCCTGCAAAATAGCCTAGTCCCATATCTACAGAAAGAAGAGAGCTAGAGACATGGCCGAGAATTCTATGCACTGGCCGCTCTTGGAGATGACCCAGGTACTATTCCAAGTACCCAAATGGTGACTCACAAACAGTTCTAATTCCAATCCCAGGGAATCCAATATCCTCTTCTGGCTTCTCAGGCATTCACACAGTATACAAATATACATGCAGACAAAATGCCCACACACATTAAATTTGAATGTATGTTTGTAACCACTTGCATTCCCAGTGCCAACAGATGCCAGAATAGAGCATCAGATTCTCTGGAACTGGAATTACAGATGGTTACAAGCCACCATTCAGATGCTAAGAATTGAACTCAGGTCCTCCATAAGAACAGTAAGTACTCTTAACTGCTGAGCCATTTTTCCAGGCCCAAGTAACTTTTAAAGGTAGAACTGAGCCCACAAAGGTGCCTTCTGACTACCACATGTGGCAACAAATGAATTATAAATATTCATTCATTCATGTTCACAAGTATGTACTCTTGCGTGTGTGCACATGCACACATATACACACTAGTAAGTAATTTTTAAATTCTGTTAATGAAGCAGAGTGTTGTTGGAAAGCCCCACCCAGTCCCACTCCTCCCATTCCAAACCCCGCCCCTGAGGAAGCCTGTTATCTGCAGCTCCTCCCCTGGAACTGCTTATGACAGTCCACACGTTATTTAAGACCCCGCCCATAGTTCTGTCATGTGTTCTCCTCCTGCCTTCCTGAGAGTCACCGGGGAGTGCTCTGCTTTGCTTTGCTGTTTATTAAATCCAGATTTATTAATTCAGTTTGATTTGGCTTATTACTTCAGCGGAAGAACCCAATAATAGGGGACCCAATACTTATCAAACATTCTGACTAAAACCAAAGCATTATAGTCAGGGGCTTTGATTAGACATTAACGTTCACTTAGGTCAGACTGGTTTACATAACATCTCTTTTTGCTTGTTTGTTTGCTTTTGAGACAGGGTTTCTCTGTGTGACAGCTCTGGCTGTCCTGAAACTAGCTCTTGTAGACCAGGCTGGCCTCGAACTCATGGAGATCTGTTGTGAGGAGGCGTGGGCCGCATCCCGCTACCTGGCTAGCTTAACCCCCGAAATAACCACACAGAAATTGTATTAATTAAATTACTGTCTGGCCCATTATATTTAGCCTCTTATTGGCTAACTCTCACATCTTGATCTAACCCATTTCTATTAGTTTGTGTTCCCCACAGGGTTGTGGCTTACCGGGATGAGTCTAACCCACTGATAATAACATCTCTTAGTGTGATCCTAAGCTCATTAGTCAATATACCCAGGATAATACTCAATAACTTACTTTTAAAAAACAATGGTGAGGCTGAAGAGATGGTTCAGTAGTTAAGAGCACTGGCTGCTCTTCCAGAGGACATGGGTTTGATTCTCAGCACTACTTCTGGTTGCTCACGCATCCTGTAATTCAGGCTCCCATGTATCAGGCACCTTCTTCTGGCTCCAAAGGGCATTGTGTACAAGTTGATATGCAGGCAAACTACCCAAAGACATAAAAATAAACAAGAAAACATTTTAACAGGAATTTTTTTTTTGAGAGTGTGTGTGTATTTGATCCTCTGGAGCTTGGGTTATAGGTCCTCGTGATCCATCAGAAGGAGGTGCTGTAATTTCATGACTGGGGGTTGGTGGTGTTCGTGTGCCTGGGGGTGAACAGGTTTACCAGTGTCTGAGGACACAAGCGAACCCCAGTGCTATCCTCAAGAAGGCTGTCCACACCCTTTGAAACAGAATGTTTCATTGGTCAGGAGTTTTTCAATTAGGCTCAACTGCTGGCCAGGGAACCCTCATAACACTTCTCTCTGTATCTGCTTTAGTGAGGGCTCTGCATGCTTCCAAGAGCAGGCAGGAAGTGCCAGGAAGCGCACTACCTGGATCCCAGCCTACTCTAATCTCTAGCCAGTTTGATCCCCAAAGTTTGGGTTACTACCAGATTTCAGTGCATACCTAATGAGCACAGACAGATTCTGGAACTGAGTGAGTGGCCAATCTGTCACTAAGCAAGCATGTGAACTGGGAGGAGAATATGTGCTACAGAGTAGCTCACTGTAGAGCTCTAACAACCCTGGAATTCACACTGTAGCCTAGGGCTGAACTCAAAGCAGGTATCAGAGGGCTGAAGTAACAGGCATATGCCACAACAGCCCTTTGGAATTGCTATAGTTTTATTGTTTTGGTGACTCCCTGGCTTTTCTCTTTTTATCCTGTCTCATTTATTCTATTTTAAATTTTGCACATTATCACTCCTCACTGAACTGGTCGTTTTTTAGCAGCCCATGGGGACCTGCTCCTTCCGAGAATTTGGATTACTCCACTGTACCACTATGTCGGATTCAGTGGATTTCGTTGCTTTTATTTGTTGTGCATCTGCTGGATCTAGACTTGCCTTTGTTGTGTAACTTGCCTGGACAATGATCTGGGCAAATGGTCTGACCAGGATTAAGCTGTTCGGGGACAAGAGTTACACCCTGTCAGTCCAAGTTGGTCCAAGCTGGTGCACAGAAACATAAATTAATCAGAAACATGCCTTAAAGAAAGTTTTACTGTATTTTATTTCCAAAGTATGTTTATGCACCAAAATTGTAACATCGACGTTCTTGTCTCAGACTCCTACAGGGCAGTCTTGTGATTCCAGATGAGTTTTCCTAACACAATATGGACCAGCCTCCAAGCCATTAATTTTATAATAACTGTCCATGATGCAAAACAGATGCCAACTGGTAGGCTGCACAGGGCAAAAATAAAGGGTCACTCCTTTTGCTCATCCAGAGCTTCAAAGGTAGTACTCACAAAAGCAACCAGTCTGGCACTGGGTATTTTAAAAAAAAATCGACTTGCCTACCCGCAGCACAACTGGAAACCAAAGCACTAAACTCATTCTGTCCAGACACAACACAGATATGTGCATTCTGGCTAGCAATATCTTACTGATCTTACCTTCCCTTAGTCTGTCCACTGCTGCCCTCTCTTAGATCCTGCCAGCTGCTCACCAATAATAACTGGAGGATGCTCCACTCTTATCAACACACCAGAAACAGCAATATGCTTCCTCATGAAACTTCATCACTGGTTTGACCCCGTGGAGTCCCTAAGCACCAGAGATGTTTTATAATCTTAATTCCTGGTATAGGATCCCCACTGTCCCACTATTCCAAATTAAGGCACTTGTGCACAGCAAAGAAAACAATTAAAGTACAGAGATAACACTCAAGTTGTAAGACAATTGAAAGGTAACTATTAGGAGGTTTAGTATCAGTACCTATAAGGAATTCAAATCTATATACAGCAGGAGAAAAAACTCAATTTAAAAAATGACTAAAAACCTAATAGACTTTTAACAGACCTTAGCACAACTGACACCATGTTAGAGATACCATTCTGACCTTAAAACCTGGTAAGTAGGCCCCAATACCTATAAAAATGGGCACAAGGATCTAGTCCACCAAAGACCTAATCTGTAGTTCCAAGAAAGCCCCCTGTGAACCTTGCTTTCTGGCCTCTGTAGTTCTGCTTCTTGCTATCTGAAGTTTGATGATCAGGATGCAGTTTTTGTGCATAAAAATACAAAGGGCTATAAGGCTTGGGGCTGCATGATTTGACCAAGTTCCTTGTGCAGCTGCCAGCTACCAACAAACGCCTTCTCTTGGTGGTGGCACATATCTTTAATCTCAGCAACTGGGAGACAGAGGCAGGCGGATTTCTGAGTTTGAGGCCAGCCTGGTCTACAGAGTGAGTTCCATAACAGCCAGGATTGTTACATAGAAAAACCCTGTCTTGAAAAAAACCAAAAAAAAAAGCCAGGTGGTGGTGGCACACACCTTTAATCCCAGCACTCGGGAGGCAGAGGCAGGTGGATCTCTGTGAGTTCGAAGCCAGCCTGGTCTACAAGAGCTAGTTCCAGGACAGGCTCTAAAAAAATACAGTAAAGGGCTGGAGAAATGGCTCAGTGGATAAGAGCATTACCTGCTCTTCCAAAGGTCCTGAGTTCAATTCCCGGCAAACACATGGTAGCTCACAACCATCTGTAATGAGGTCTGGTGTCCTTTTCTAACCTGCAGACATACACACAAACAGAATATTGTATACATAATAAATAAATAAATATTTTAAAAAACTACAGTAAAACCCTGTCTCAAAAAAAAAAAAAACAAAAAAAGTGTCTGTGTCTCTGGTGAGCTTACCTTGCATGTTGTAGGAGCAGCGGGCTGTGTCCCACTGCTTAACCCCCAAAATAACCACACAGAAATTGTATTAATTAAACTACTGCCTGGCCCATTATTTCTAGCCTCTTATTGGCTAACTCTCACATCTTGATTAACCCATTTCTATTAAACCCATTTCTTTTTTTTTCTTTTTTAATATTTATTTATTATGTATATAATATTCTGTCTGTGTGTATGCCTGCAGGCCAGAAGAGGGCACCAGACCTCATTACAGATGGTTGTGAACCACCATGTGGTTGCTGGGAATTGAACTCAGGACCTCTAGAAGAGCAGCCAGTGCTCTTAACCTCTGAGCCATCTCTCCAGCCCTAAACCCATTTCTATTACATCTGTGACTGTGGCTTACTGGCAAGATTCTAACCTACATGTCGTCTGCCACACTTCCCTTCTTCCCAGCATTCTGTTCTGTCTACTCTGCCCACTTAAGGGCTGCCCTATCAAAGGCCAAGGCAGTCTCTTTATTCAACCAATGAAAGCAACACACAAACAGAAGAACCTCCTACACCATTTGCAAGTATTGGTGCTAATTATAAACAGTTAGTTTCTTTGTTTTTTCCAGACAAGTTCTCCTTATATAGGTCAGGGTTGCCTTTAAATTGTGATTTTTTCCTTCCTCTGCTTCCCAAGTACTGAAATTACAGGCATACCAGACTAGGCTCTACTAATGATAAGCTGTTTCTATTATGCTAGGGAGATAGCTCACTCAGTAAAGTACTTGCCATGCAGGCGTGAGTCTAGGGTAAAATAGCCAACTGGAACAAGAGACCAACCAATCACTGAACACCCTGACTCTGAACCCAGAGCCAGGGAAAGAAACACACCCTGAATCTGAGACCTGAGTCAGGGAAACAACATCTTTATCCCTGAACCCAGGACCAAAGAAACAGGTCCTGAGTCTGAAACCAGTGCCAAAGAAACACACATTGTCCCTAGAATCAGAGTCAGTGAAAAAAATATGCTCTGGCCCTAAGATTAGAGCCTAAAGGCTAAAAAAGACCAGTGAAAGAAACACAGTTTGGTCCTGAGATCACAGCCATCTCTGCTCCTGACCAACTACACTAACCAATCCCTGAGCAGGAAAAACTGACCAATCCCCCTTCGCCCTGGGAAAACTCCGCCCCTAAGAAGCCCTATATAAACCTCTCTGCAGCTTCAGTTAGAAGCCACTTTCCTGGACTCCTTCCCCAATTAATCTCTTTCTCTAAAGAGTCTTGGGTGAAGACCTTCATTCGCCAGCAGAGAAGAAGGACCTGGCTGGGACGTCCCTCAGGGGACCAAGCTGAAAAACCTTGCTGAGCTGCTCCTTAGGGGGTTGAGCAGGGCGGTGGAGCAGAACAGAAGATCCTTGCTAGGACGCTCCTTAAGGGGGTTGAGCAAGGGAGCTGAGCACAACAGAAGAACCTTGCTAGGACGCTCCTTAAGGGGGTTGAGCAAGGGAGCTGAGCACAACAGAAGAACCTTGCTAGGACGCTCCTTACTGAAGCTGAGCAAGGCTGTGGAGCACAACAGAAAAACCTGGCTGAGACCTCCTGAGGGGGCTGAGCGAGGCAGAGCAGAAAAGTAACAACTTCTCGCAGAGCTACATTTCTGCGGGGGCTTCCCCTAGAGGCGTAAACAGAAGAAACATCTTGGGCAGGAGAAGAAGCAGATAGCTCTGCTAGGACGTTCCTGTAAGGGAACAGCAGAGCTCAGCTGTAGCGGCTCCAGGAGAAGAGCAGGATCCCTATATCCTGTGGGGAGACCATACCCCACCTTCGGGCAGCCTGGCTGCCCTAGTCAGGACAGCTGTCAGGGCTGAGCTGTCCCTGCTGGCAGCTCGAGCCTTCAGATAGCCTGGCTTCCTGAGAAGTCAGGATATCTTTGCACCTCCAGAGCTGGAAGACTCATTCCCTACAATGAGGGCCTGAGTTCATTCCCGAAAACACCTAAAAATGCAGTGTGTGTGTGGCGGCTGTTATGTCTAAAATTTCTCTTCAAACATTCTTATAAGCTCCAGGGAGCCAATTTGCCCTACCTAAACAGAGGCCAGACTCACCCAATAAGTATCATTTAAAATTCTTTTCTTGTCATTCCTGGTATGGGGAACCCCTAAACCCCCTCCCCCTCTATCTTCCATCTTGGGACTCTCCTCTATTAATCACTAGGATCTAATTTTTTTCCCTCCCAAACATAATTTTTCTCCTTCCAGCATCTTG